ACAATACACACAAAGTGTCACAAATATAGCCTCCATAGCATGCCAAAAACTGGGGGTTTTGGGGGTCTTCAGGGTCTCTGGGAGCTTTTATGTGCTATTTTCTGATTGCATATAGACAACATAGCCGGCCTGGTTGAATTACCCCCGATTCAGAACTGGGCTAATCAGAAAACAGCCGAACACCACCAAACCCCCAGTTCTATAAGCCTGCTACGGAGGCTATCACAAATACACATATGCACATGTACATACTAGTAGTTACACACACATACTTGGATAACTTACATACTTGGATAACTAATACATAACATACAAAAAAAGGATATTGATGCACAAACATGTTTACAAAACATGAAAAGATGCACATGCACACTTGGGGATGACAAAATAATGTGAAAAACCTCACCTCTGCTGTTGCCTGTTCAAACTTACAGAGATGTTCAAACCCTCCCAGCCTCCAGCTGCCATCCCCACTTACATAGATACTGGACATACACACGTTGTTGTGGCACACACCACCCTATAGATGTGATCAAACAATTATTGAATCAGCATTTATGTAAAAGCAATATCAATAATGATAAGGATATGACGATATATAGAGATACCATCAATAAAAAAAACAGATTGAAAAAGCACATTCTAAATCCCTACTACAGTACTACATTATACTAAGTTTTTTGCCCATTATTAATTATTATAAGTCTCATCCATGTAGTAGTACCAATTTAAGTAGCAGCTACAATATAATTGTACATGTACATTGTACATGCATCCTTTTGTTTCGAAAGATTACCATTATTATGCCCAACTCTAAGATCACCCATGTACTAGCAGTATGGTTGTTGCTGTAAAGGATTAAATTGCCTTCAGACTTGGACTGAGTTGTACGCTTGTGCATTGCAAACATAATAGTAATAAATGTACTGTTAGCTTTTATTTTTGTAGCTCTTTTGCGCCCTGCGCCCTCTGTACGTACAACAGCATGTCAGCATAATGCGGCTGTGTTAACCCCCCATTTTTTCATGGTTTTCGTAGGATTTTTGGTCAATGTTGCATCAGAATTTTGCCTGTTGCAGAAAATATTTTTTTTAAGACATTACAGGGGTTAAAATACCCGGTCTCGCAGTCTCGCCGCGCAAGTAATTTTTTCTGTGCGAGACTTATTCGGAAAGCCAGGTTGCCCGGAGCGCAAGTTGTTTTTACAGCGGCTGGGTTTACGGCCAGCAGCTTCTGAAATAAATAGTGCCGCGGTCCCGCCTGATTGACATGTGGACCGGTTCGGACCGTAAAAATTTATCGGTCCGGTCCGAAAAAAACGAAACGTCGGTGGACCGGTTTTTTGGACCGGAACAAAAATCCATACTAACTGATGAGGGTCTGCATGCCCTTTTTCGTTAACCGTTATGGGCTATTTTGATTTACCGTTAATCGTTGCCGGCCCGCTCTAATTCAACGTTAAGCGTTATCAGTATATTCCTCGTGAAGCGTTATTGGTCGTTTTAATTCAACGTAAAACGTTATTTGTCATCCTGAATTCAGCGTTAAGCGTTAATGAATAATTCTTCGTTACGCCTAATTTTGCCTATCAAAGTGCAGGAAAATGCGTCATTGAAGGTTTAAAAATACAAAATTTCCCGGGGGAGAATGCCCCCGGACCCCTCTACATTGCTCGCGCCTTTGGCGCTCGACTCGCGCTTCTGCGCTCGGTCCCTTCCGCTCTAGCCAGAACCAGTTTACCCTTCAATTTCCGGAGGTTTGCGGAGAGTTACAGAATTTTGTAACGAATCCGTCATGCAAACTTGACAGGCAAATTAACAAAAATCTTGAGTAAAATATGAAAACATCAGAAGAACCGACAAACAACTCTCAACACCATTATTTGCCTCTCAAAATGCGGGAAATTGCTTTTTTGAAGGCTT